ATGATGACAATGTTGATGATGATGGTGATGATGATAATGTGGCGTAACCGGCCTCTGCCGGGATAGCGTTCTGCCTTGCAGTCTCTCAAAACCTGGTTCACGCTCTCGACAATCATTCATCAACTTTATCTCTCATTGGGCTCTCACAAAAGTATATCGTGAAAGAAAAACATGGACTAGCTCTCATTCACTTACTCCCGCAATCACTGAATGTCTGACAGGACTAAAGAAACAACACTTGCACAGTATCTGCAGTATAGGTCTATGGTACAAGTAACTTTACTTGTTCCTGGCAACGGACATGTCGCAACGACAGGTCAACGCTGACTCCCGACATCTCACGATGTCCACATATAATATTTCACAATTAACTATAACGCCCTCTACGTCTTACTAAATTACTGGTCTAGTTATGCTACACTAATATCATCATCATCATCTTTTAACATCATCTTCATCACTATCATCTCTTCTTTTTCTTTACGTGCCATATCATGAGACGTTGGCCACCATGAAATGCCACAACTCTCTGTCCCATATTCTATGAAGTAATCCATACTCCCGAGATCGATTCCACTTTCAAAAATCCTCCTTCTATATATAACCCTACTCCTACTCCAAACCACTCTTTCGAATAACATGAACCAAGAAGCTCAGCTGTCGACCTCATCACTATCATCATCTTTGTGACAGCATCATCAGTATTATCACCACCATCATAAACATCACCACGACCACCATCATCACCAACATCATGATCATTTCAGTATTAGCTTTTTAACTTTTTTGTATGTTATGCATTGTATTGCTTTTGATCAATTATTAGTAGTAGTAGTATGAATTTTAATAGATTTTTAAAATGTATATAGTGATAGATTTTAAATAGCTACGCATGAATAATATTAAATGTTACCAATACTATTTGAATGAATGATTGTAACAAATGAAATATAATGTTATGTAATGAAGCTCATGTATATGTAAACATGCACAATTCATCATTTTGGCTGCGAGGCATTGTTTTTGTTAATAAAACCATTATTAAATTGACTTGAAATCATGACCATTATCATGATCATCATAATCAGCACTTTCATCACTATTATTATTATTATTGTTATCACCATTATCATCACCATCACCTAGATCATCATCTATATTTATCAGATTCACACCCAGCACTGTAATAACATGACCCGTACTGAATCTAGGACAAGCCCGGATGATTATCAGTTTCTGATCATCACCACCACCAACACTATCTTCACCAACATCATCATCATCAACGTGATCACCATCATTACAATCATTATCATCACCATCGTCATCGCCACCAACATCATCATCATCACCATCGTCATCGCCACCAACATCATTACCATCATCATCACCATTACCATCACCATAATCATCAACGTGATCACCATCATTACAATCATTATCATCACCATCGTCATCGCCCCCAACATCATCATCACCATCGTCATCGCCACCAACATCATTACCATCATCATCACCATTACCATCACCATAATCATCAACGTGATCACCATCGTCATCGCCACCAACATCATTACCATCATCACCATCGTCATCGCCACCATCATCATCACCATCGCCACCATCATCATCACCATCGTCATCGCCACCAACATCATCATTATCATCACCACCATAATCAACGTGGTCACCATCATCACAATCATTATCATTACCATCATCATCACGATTAGTACTATCATTACCATTAACCTTCGTCATCATTCTCATCATCAATATCACCACCACCACCACTATAATCATCATCTATATTTTCTCAAGCTTACACCCATCCCCGTATACACTGTATCAAGGACAAGCCCGAACGATTGCCAGTTTCTGATTATTTTTATTTGGTATAATAAGTGTAACTATTTACATCTATCCTACAAGAAACACGCAACGTCGCAGCTAGAAATGTTTTGAAAAGCCCAAATAATAAGAATAAGAAGAAGAAGAAATAAGAATTCAAGAAGGTTAATGATTCCTTCGATTCCCTGTGTATATTTTTCAACGAGTTATGTCAGCCTGTACATTAAAAATGTGGATATTATTTACACAACCGCAATTTTTTAGGAATGCTCCACAGGGAGTGGAAATGGTGCACACTGTGCGTGAATGAATCTGATGACTAGGGTAATAATAAAACGCTTAGAGCCGGTATTCCATATTTTGAGGGCTAAACAAACACAGATTTATTATTACTATTATCATCATTCTAAATGACTGTATTATGACGTATCGTGTGGAACGGGCGTTGTCAGAAAGTCAAACGGTATATGAAATGTACATGTGTATAAACGATGTACGTTTAAAGTGACAAAAAAGGGGAACAAAACTCCCAGACTAAAACAAAAAAAAGGTACATATTAATGATCTAAATGTATTGATACAGGTACATATACCTTTGTTTAAATAACAAATTTCTTTACAATTAAAGATACAGGTACATATATTTTTATAATAACAAATTTCTTTACAATAAAAATGGTTGGTAGAAAACAATGGCAATTTCCTAAAGTTTCCAATTTATTATTTGGGAAATTTAGACAGTGACCTTTATTAAAGGGAGATGGTCATCAGTTTCCATGTGCAGTAGGTCATAATTCGCAGACAACAGACATGGTGTAGAGATTATGGGTCTCACACACAGCAAACCCGTAGTCCCATCAAGAAATATGGAGTTACGTCTTTGTATCACTGAACCCTCGATATGTTAGTTTGTATATACTGTTCATGTACAGATGTATTAATATCTTTCTTTATTTACTTCTTCATTTTATTTACTGCCCCATCTGATTTAGGCTTGTCTTCACACACTGCATTCACATTCTTCACTTCCTAGGGAGCATTCCGGTCAGACCCAAAACCATGATAAGCTATAAATTCATGTTTTTTGCTAAAAAATATATATTTAGTGCATGTCCAAATAAACCAGATTTTATCCTGAGATTGCCAAAAGCGATTGGGCAGCTTAATTAAATTTCTAGATAAACAGATAACAATGAAATATATAATCCCTGAGTTACATACATGTATACCGGTATTCAAATGAATCTGAGTATGTTTAAAAGAGTAAAAATGTAAAAGAATGGTACCACAAAATGATACAAACACCTACACACTGTAGTTTGCATGAAAACATGTGTTTCTAACTTCCTAATAATATCTAAGAATTTATAAAAATTGGCAAAACTTGAGGTTACTTTGGCGACGAGCGAATACAATCTTGCAAGTAAGAGGATACCATAACTCATTGCTAATCTAAAGAAGACCCTGATATAATTTTTAATTAAGTAAATAATGAAATAAAGATATGTTATGACTCACAGCTTTCATATTTATCAAATACTAATATTACTGTGACATGATTTGTATTAAGTTTATGCTTGAAATAAGTAAAATATCTAGAAAATGCCGACACAAAACAAATTGTCCTCAATCTCATGGGTCTGGAAATACAGACTGTTCGATCTTTGGTGACTTTTCTATAGTAGACCGATGTACATACTCCTACAAATAATATTTATCATATTTACCAGGCATTACAACTTTATAAGAAATTATGCTTTTATATTAACGCCAAAAAAAACTGGGGGAGGGGGGGGGGGGCGTTTCACAAAGCCTTTTTTCAATGACAAATGACAAAAAATCAGTTACAAATCTGCTGATAACCAATCAGAAGCAAGGATTTCAGTAGCTTATAACAAAAACTGTCATTTGTCACTGATGACAAGTTTTGTGAAACGCCCCCCTGATCGGCGAAATAAGAGCTTGAAGATCAAGAAGTAATTGTTAAAATAAATTTTCAATTTTCATTTTCTTTGCTGCCCATAGACCAGCTTAAAGTTGCCTTGAGATCAGATGGCGTTCTAAAAAGATATGACAGGTTTGGAGTTGCAACAAGTCTGTTGACGGGAAGATGCAAAAACAGTTTTGTGAAACACTCAGCAGACAAGTCGAACAAAAGCATTGGGATGAAATTGATCTTGAAGTTATGACAGTTTCATGAAACAAGCCCCTGGTTCCAAACTGGGCCCGTTGCATAAAACTTACCATTGATGGTAACTTTGCCATCAATGGAAACTACCCAGAGCTGCCAACCTCCAGAACAGAAAATGAGTAACCATAAGGCTCAAAATCAGTAATTTTGGGAATAAATCAGTAATTTCCTATGCGGCGCCATGAATCTTAAAAGAATGGCAAGCGGACGCATGCGCGCATGATTATCTGAAATTTGTTGTGATTTTACTCCCACAAAGTCGCTAAATATTGATTTTCAGTTCATCACAACACATAAGTTTTCAATGAAAGATTGGCTTCTATTAAGAGAATACTTGATAATTTTCCATCTTTCTCATGCAGCGAGTGCTGGATGGCCACCATACTGTACAGCACTTGCTACTATAGATCCCTATGCGCCAAAAAAAAAAAAAAACAAAAAATAATTTTTAGACAACATTCCGTACTGCCGTAATGGTTGTTAATTTCCGTACCAATTACGGGAAATCCGTACTAGTTGGCAGCTCTGACTACCATGGTAACAGGGCTCATCAGCCAATCAAGATCAAGGTTTCCATGGTAGCTACTGTATCATTGATGAAAAAGTTACCATCAATGGTAAGTTTTATGCAACAGGGCCCAGGACTAGATTCGGTCAATGCACACTTTTCACATGATTCTTAAGGCTGCACTTATAAGGAAAGCTCTCTGTACATTTGGGACACGGATGCGGCTGTGCACTGGCTTGTTTCGTTAAATGCCTCCTAAGTTCCGTCTTTGAAACAAAACCTTTATCGCAATGTTGGCACCGAAACGGTCGCTCCCCGGTGTGCGTCATCACATGTTCATTAAGAGTCTGCTTTGTTCCCAGCATCCTGCCACAAATGGAACACTGAAAGGACTTCTCACCCGTGTGCCTCTTACGATGCCTAGCAAGGTTAGACCCATTGTTGAATCTCATGCTGCAGTTGGGGCACTGGTGAGGTTTCTCTTGTAAGTGGATCTTCATGTGGTTAGTGAGGATGGTCTTCAGATGGAACCTCGCATCACACTCGGGACATTGGAAGGGCTTTTCACCCCTGTGGACTCTTTGGTGGTATCGCAAGGAAGCTTTCGAAAAAAAATCGTTTTCCACATTCCCCACACTCGGGTAACTTTCCCTCTGCGTGAAACATCCGTCTATGAGAAACAAGGCAGCCCTTCGAAGAATAAGTTTTATCACAATCAGAGCAATGGTTACGCTCAACATCCGGGTGTATTCTCAAAGCGTGTTCACGTAGACTGCCCATTGTAGCAAATTTTTCATCACACTCTTTGCATTTGTGTGGCCCAGTGTCTTCACTATCGGTATGTATTCTCAAATGGTGATCCTCCAGGGAACCCTTTGTGAGGAATTTCCGACTGCATTCGGAACAATGATACAGACATTTTTCAGGGTGAAATCTCACGATGTGAGCATCGCAACTCCACTTGGCAGCGAACTTGATATCGCACAAGGAACAAGAAAAAGCCTTGACACCGGTATGTACTGTAAGCTTATGTCTCTCAAGGTTACTGGCATTGCTAAATGCTTTGTCGCATTGTGAGCATTTATAATTCTTTTCACCAGTGTGAGACGTCATGTGATCAGCCACCCCTGCCTTCCTTGCAAATTTCTTGCCACACTCCGGACACGCAAATCGTTTTTCTCTGGTATGCGTTCGTTTGTGTTGCAGAAGGATGGCCTTTGTCTTAAAACTTCCATTACATACAGCACACAAGTGAGACTTCATGTGTTTTGCAAGACGACCCTTTGACGTGAAAACCTTATCACACGTACCACACATAGACTTTTCTGTATGGCTCCTCATGTGCTCCGCAAAAAGAGCCTCTGACGTGAATCCCTCATCACACTTACCACACCGAAGCTTTTTCGTCTGGTGATACAGGAAATGTTTCGAGAGCTCTGATTTTGTGTAATATCTCTCAGGACACTTGGTGCACGAAAATGTTTCTTCACCACTTTGCGCTTGATCCTGTTGCAAGAGATCAGACTTGGTGAGTAACTTGGTGCACAAAAACGTTTCTTTGCCACTTTGCGCTCGAACCTGTTGCGCGAGATCGGACTCAGGACACTTGGTGCACAATAACATTTCTTCGCCACTTTGCGCTCGAACCTGTTGCGCGAGATCGGACTCAGGACACTTGGTGCACAATAACGTTTCTTCGCCACTTTGCGCTCGAACCTGTTGCGCGAGATCAGACTTGGTGAGTAACCCCCTGAGGAAGTGAGGGAACCTATGCGGCTTTCCATTGTGGATTCTCATGTGTACACTGACGAAGCACTTCTGACTGAAGGTCTTATTACAGACGGGACACTGATGTTTTTCTCCTTTCTGCATCTCTCCTTTAAACATCTCTCCTTTCTGCATCTCTCCTTTCTGCATCTCTCCTTTAAGCATCTCTCCTTTCTGCATCTCTCCTTTAAGCATCTCTCCTTGAAGCATCTCTCCTTTAAGCATCCCTTCTTTCTGCATCTCTCCTTTCTGCATCCCTCCTTTAAACATCTCTCCTTTATACATCTCTCCTTGAAGCATATCTCCGTTATGCATCTCTCCTTTCTGCATCTCTCCTTTATGCAATCGCATATGTTTCGAAAGGCAACTATTTGTAAGAAACTTTTTATCACACTCCGAACATTGAGACGGCTTCTCATCATTGTGCCTTCGCATGTGCACCGTGAGGGCACTCTTTCTCAAGAACCCGACACTACACACTGAGCAACCATGGGGCTTTTCCCCCGTGTGGTACTCCATGTGCTTCCTGAGGACACATTTGGAATGAAACTTCTTCTGACACTCCTCACACGTGTGAAGATTTTCCCCGTTGTGGTACCTCATGTGCAATTTTAGGTCACTTATACGAAGGAACCTTTTATCGCACTCTGGGCATGGAAACGGCTTCTGGATATCTTCCGTACGTTCAGTCCTTGCATCATGACGATCTTCACCATGTTCTTCAGTGGCTCTGGTGGTTCTTGTAAGACGGTCGACCAAGACCTCACATCGAGCTTCTGCAGGGTTGACTGTGTTAGAATAACGACCCTCCTCAGTCAAAGAGCCTACTCGTGCCTCTTCCTGACATTCGAGTGTGAGCAGTGGAGTGTTCAAAGTACTGATGACATCTGTCACAGAAAAGTAATGAATCGATTGTTAATTTGTTTCTATGTGTTAAAGGCCCTACTGCACTACTTATAGCTACTTGCGCCCTCTATATAGCAAACAATGCCTAATCTGTGCCTGTTGGTCCTCCATGATCCACCTTTTTCTTATGTTAATTGAGAACTGATTTGATGAGATAACCACCTGCCAGTGACCTTGCAGGGAGGTCTAATCCCCCCTGGCCAAACTAGTAACAGACAGGCTTTAAAGAATCAAATTTCTGTATCCATCGAATCACCATGATCACCTGCAAATTGCTGAATCAGATTTAACAAAACTTGGCTCAAATGTGTTATTTATAGGCAAACAAGTATGAAATGAATTCACCGGAGGTTTAATAGATGAAAGGTCAGAAGATCACAAAAGCGCACAATTATATCTCAGTAAACATTTTCATTACAACAAAACCTGAAGAACCATTGAGACAATTTGTACCAAATTTCTAGTAAGCCTGAAAGAATGAAGTCCTTAAATTCTGGGGTTATAGGTCAAAGTTCCCACCATCATAAGAGTCTGGATAAGAAAAAAATGTGACCATTTGTGAACTTATTTCAAACAATCTAGTTGTCAACAAATAGGTTCAAAATCACAGAAGGAACCATTTGAGGCTCCTTGAAATGACCTCTAGTAATGAAACTATCACTCTCTCTATGACGGCTATAGCTCCTATTGGATTTAAATGGTGTTAACGGATGTGGGGTAAAATACAAAGGGTGGTATTCTCGAAAGCAGAATTTCTTTTGTCTATGGTTAAATCCACCGACTAAATATGGAATGACAAGTGTCCATATGAATATATTTTTGGACAATTTGATATGTTCCTAGATTACCATGATAACATAATTATATCATAGTTATATTGTTGTTTATTAATTATGTTATTACATTTTATTTTAATTTAGTGACAGATTAAATTATTCAGAAACATATTCATATGGACACTTGGCATTCCATACTCAGTCAGTGGATTAAACCATGGACTAAAGTTAGTCCGCTTTAAAGAATACCACCCAAAGTCTTCAGGGGAAAAAAAAAAAAATTATTTTTCGCGGGCTACAAGTTTTTCAAGCTTGCCTGCCTGAAATTAAAATCCAAAACTTGTTTTGCATCGAACTCTATGTAGATTGATGGGGGCTCTTTTCTGTTTTTCGGGGGCTCTTTTTGGCATTTTGGGGGCTATTTCGCCCCCAAGCCCCCATGTATTTCTTTCACTGCCCAAAGAGGTTACAATTTAGTTTTTTTGTTTACTTTGCTCTGATGCAGATTGTGAAGCATGGCTCATACCAGGCCCAGGAAAGAAGGTCTTGTCTTCTTGAGAGCCCGTTTCTTCCCAGTTTTCTTGCTTAATGTAATGGATCTGATGACCAGCATTCTCCCACTGCACCGAATAATACGTGGCTTCATCTTCCAGGAGCTTGTCATCCTCTCCTGTAGTGCCTACGGGTGAAGACAAAAAAGGACGTACATGTATATAAATAAATACATGTACTTAAAACATTATGGTGTTAAAGACGAAGACCATGAGAGAAAGAGGCGGAAAGGAGGATTGGAAGGAGAAGGAGTGAAAGGAGAAAGAGAAGAACAAGGAGGAGAAAAAGAGAGAAAGAGACGAAGGAGAATGGGAAGGAAAAGTAGTCGAAGCAGAAAGAGAAGAACAAGGAGGAGAAGAAGAAGAGAGAAAGTGACGGGAAGGAGGATGGGAAGGAGGAGTCAAACGAGAAAGAGGAGAAAGAGGAGAAGAAGAGAGAAAGTCAGGAAGGAGGATGGGATGGAAAAGTAGTGAAAGGAGACAGATTAGAATGAGAATGCGGCAGCAGGAAGGCCTTAGGTTAGTAGGGCAAAGCCAGAGGAATTTTTGTTCTCACTTTTTGAAGTTTTCTACCTTGAAATAAGCCCACTGGTCATCCAGTGTGCGAACACACACACTGCACTGACACTTGCGTTTACGCGTGTAACTGTAATCGCCCTAGGCCTAGGCATTGCACGCAATGAACCCTACGACTACGAGTACGAACGCGTACACAAGGTAAAAAGAGAACTGTGGCTTATTTCATGAGAATGCCTGGACTTATAATACTCACTCTCTCTGGTAGTCATTTTGCTTCTATATCTAAATATCGTCGAAGAGGTGTTGTTTAACTTCTGTACTCCATTCAAAATTAAAACAATTGTAGACCGTAAAAAAGCAGCAGCACTTTACAGATTCAAGTAAGAAACAAAATAATAACTTAACGGTGTCTTTGAATAAGCAAAATGATTTTGGAAAAAAAAAAATCACCTAACTAAAATTTAGTAAGAAAGAAAGAGAGAGAAGAGAGAGAGAGAGAGAGAGAGAGAGAGAGAGAGAGAGAGAGAAACAAAAGAGAGAAGAATGAAAACGAATTTAATAAACACAAACAAAGGAAGAAATAAAGGAAGGGAAATAACAATGAAAGCAATACAAATGCTAATGGTTATCAAGTGAGACATTGGCGACACAACCCTCTTTTTAGTAGATCTTGGCAGAATTTTTGTTTGAGGATAGTTCAATAGTAGATGCATGTAATTAATTAAGCTTGTAATACAATGTAAAGCGCATAGAGACATACCTTGTATAATGCGCTATAGAAATATAATTTTTTATTATTATTATTTGAAAGCCAAGAGGTATACATCTTCAGGATATCGTAAAAATATCCTGAAAAAGTGACCCCCCCCCTCTTGTAGGCCTATTATTTCCATAAACATGTATTTTGTTCGTCAACTCATGGACTTAATACGTAATAGGTCCATGGTCAACTAAGGACATTTTCTTATAGTTGACGAATAAAATAAATCAACCAATCACACATATAGAATTACACTTTTGCACAAAAGGCGTCACTTGCCTGGCATCGGACTGCGTCAGCCAGGGGCGGTGTAGCCTGTTCCAAAGTGTGGGGGGGGGGGGTGGACACAAACCATAAAAAGGAGACCCCCGCACCCCAAAAAGAGAAACCTCAAATCAATGCGAAAATATACACATTTTAGACATTGGCACTATATACCCCGAAATTATCATGATTGTGAATACATGATCAGGGGGTTTAACCCCACCCCCCCCCCCCTGCGTACGCGCCTGCTGACAGGTGGTTATCATCAACTCAGCTCTCAATTAACATAAGAAAAAAGTAATCACGGGGGACCAATTACGGGCACCGCTAAGGTATTGTCTTCTATATAGAGGGAGCAAGTAGCTACAAATGGTGCAATGGGGCTTTAAAAGACGGCCCCTGAATTCGAAATCACTGCTTCACTTCGGAAATCAGGCGCGGTTCTTGAAGAAAATCTTTAGGGGGCTGTGGGCTTAACATTTTGAAACACCAACATGTTTCCAATAGGATCTGCTTCCCATAAAAAAAAAAGATCAACATTTTGGAACAACTGCCTCGCCGACATTCTCTCTTCATTCATTTTATGTTCAATTCCCGATATCAGTTGAGATGCATTCTACTGCCTCCCTCCCTCCCCACTGTCATAACTTCCTGTAATTTTGCAATGTATTTGAGATACATGTAGTTAAAAGAAGATTACAAATTTTGTTGAATATGGAAATTTTGGCTTATAAATCTATCTTGACAACTGTTCTAATTAAAAGGTATTTTAATGTAAATTAATTTATTGGATTTTTCGTATGTGTGTGTGTATGCACTGTATATACAGTGCGTCCCAGAAAAAAACGAAACCGAGAACTAGCATGGCTGATCGTCAACGAAACGGATTTAAGTCTTTTGTCAACTCCGTTTGATGCTACGGCAGGCAGCCAGTGAAAACGAACTCGTTTGATCAAATTATGGAAATGCAATCATTACTTTAAACAAACTGAACTTTGTTATTCCTAGCTCATTTTTCCTGATTGAGGTGTCATATGAAAGGCCAGAAATTGAACTTTCTAGAAATGTGATTTTCTCTTTAAAATTCAGATATCGCCCGCCAAATGATGTTTTGGTTTCCTCTCTTCAAATTGTTTTGAATCACTCATGCGTGAAATATACACTTTATGAGTTGCATCAAATGAAAGAGGGGGATCTATAAGCTTTACACATTATGTGTCATTTATTAATCCTAATTGTGATTAAGCTATGATAAAAATTCTCGGTTTCGTTTTTCGTTTTGATCATAATTTTTTTCTCGTATTTGACCTAAAAAATGTGAAAATCGTGCCGACCAACATCTCGCTCAGTGGGGGGGGGGGGGGGGGGGGGGGGGGGGGGGGTAGTAGAGCATCACTTTTTTTTTTGGTATATGACCCCGAAAATGTGAAAATCGAGCCTTTCGATATCTCGCTCAGTGGGGGGGGGGGGGGGGGGGGGGGGGGGTAGTATGCATAATTTTGTTTGCGTATTTGACCCCAAGGGGGGAGGGGGGGCCGGGCCCGTCGGGCCCCCCCCCCCCCCCCCCCCCCCCCCCCCCCCCCCGTGGATCCGCGCCTGTCGGAGAACATAAAAGGAAAAGAAAATGAAGGGGTTAATTATAGAGAGTGAAATGTAATGAAGCAACCAAGGAAGAAGAAAAATAGAAGAAGAAGAATAATATAATCTACTTAAAGAGAAGGCAAAGATAACTGAACATGTAAGTCTTCTTTTTATAGACCATAAAAAAATGTCTCTCTCTCTTTCTTACTGAATTCCTCTCTTTGTTTCTTTTTTGTTTCTTTCTCTATTTCAGTTTGAAGTCAGGTGTTTTTTTTTCCAAAATCATTTTGCTTATTCAATTCAAAGACACCGTTAAGTTAAGTTATTTTTTTTCTCTTTCTCACTTGAATCGAATCGAGAGTTGAGTGCAGCTGCTTTACGAGTAATTACCTAGTTTTGGACGGAATGCAGAAGTTAAGCAAAACCTCTACGAAGATATTCAAAGAAGGGCAATGACGACTAGAGAGTGTGAGTATTATTGGTCCAGGTATTCTCGTGAAATAAGCCACAGGATCAGGAGATCGATCCAGCTAGCTAGGCCCACTGCTCATTCTCTGTTGACCTGTGTGTGCGCGTACGTACGAACATTGCGTGCAATGCCTATGCTATGTGAGATGCTATAGATCCCACCTCAGCTCCCGATAGACTTTACAGTTAAGTGCCCATTTTCCTTGCAAAAAGTGTCCATTTTCCATTCTCACATTAAATGCCCTTCTTAATCTCTATAGTAAGTGCTCCTTTTCAGGTGCGAGAAGTGCCCCTTTTCACTTATGATAAGTGCCCCCTTCACCTTTTTATAATTGCCCTTTTCAAATCTGAGAGGTGCCTCTTTTACTTTGACAAGTCCCTTTTTTCCTTTGTAAGAGGTGCCCCTTCCCCTTTAATGACTACCCCCATTTTAACTTGGATAAGCGCTCCATATATTTTCACATGTGCCCCTTTACCTTTCTAATAAGTGCCCCGTTTCCTAATACAAAGTGCCCCTTTTCATCTCCGATAAATGACCCTTTTCAGGTACGAGAAGTTAATCCTTTTCACTTCAGATAAGTGCCCGCTTCACCTTTGATAAATGCCCCTTTATCATCTGATCGGAGCCCATTTTCTTTCAACAAATGCACATTTTCCTTTATTATAAGTGCCCCTTTTTCATTCACATAAGTGCCCCTTTTCATATCTGGTCGTTGCCCATTTTCAGGTGCGATAAGTGCCTCTTTTCACCTCTGATAATTTCCCTTTTAACAATGATACGTGCCCCTTTTCCTTTCTAATAAGGGACCTATCCCCTTTTCATAAATGCCCCTATCAAAATTGATGGGGGCCCCTTTTCCGTCGACAAATGCCCATTTCTATTCTCCTGAATGACTTTTTTCATCCCTTGTGAGTGCCTCTTTTTGAAGTTGTAAGAAGTGCCCTATTTTTCACCTCTGATAATTACTCTTTATACTTTGACACATGCTCCTTCTTTTTTGATAAGTGCCCCCTTTTCCTCTCATCATTAAATGCGCCCCTAATTTCAAGCGACTAAGAGCAATGCCCCCCCCCCAAACTTGTTCGCTACGCTCGCACGCATTTATAGATGATATACTTATGTTACTTATCAAAGGTCTTTTCTTTGCTTATAACCCCATGAGGATTGGGTTTTTCCCTCTTTATAAGTTGTAATTTTTCTAACAAATCTTAAACTTTTCCTCGCTCGCTCGCAAATAAATTTACAAACCATCACACCCAGTTGCAAAGTGTGATGCTTTAGCAATATTTTGTATGGTGTATAAAGTGAAACAAATATTGAAATCATCCCTGATAATGTAATCACAATGTAGGGGTATATACCAATGTCTATATACCCCAATATACCAATGTTCCAGAAAGTGCCCTTTTTTCTTGATGCCCCCCCCCCCCCCCCCCCCCCCCACTTTGGAAGTTGCTCGGCCGCTCCTGTGCGCATACGTTCATGTGATCTAAGCGAATTGCAGCCTCATTTTCCTAAATTGGCGCCTACAAGGGCTCTTCTTATTGGCTGGCTGCCAAGCGCGCGCCTGTGTGAAGTTATCTACCGTAATGATCAGGGGATCTGAGACATTACGATAGATATTAACTTCACACAGGTGCGCGCTAATATGTTTAGGAAATTTAATTCCTGTTTACTCTCCTTTTCTTTGAAATGATTATAATTTGTATGTAATTCAATTCAGGTTTTAATATTTTTGGCTCATACTGCAACCATAATTATAAACCTTTAGGTCAGTCAGGAATCCCATGACTTTCACAATCCAAACGCCTGTCTGATTATCAAGATACTTTACGAACGACTTGAATATGAAAAGCCAAATGAGATACTCAATCATTTTAACTCATAGAGATATATACTTAATAAGGCTAGAGTGCGGACTCGTCATACGCGCCCGTTCAAAGCTCTGTGCGCGCGTGGAGCGCGGTCCGCCATTACTAAGGAGGGCACAACTTCGAGAAATACCCGGATGTTCCCTTCGAAACTGTGCTACTGATATGCAATGTGAAGCTTCATTTTTCGGGTTGATTTATCGGTTTTCGAGTATAAAACGTTATAATTGTGGTATTTTGCATAATGCATGAACCCTACTCATGCCTCAGTCATGGTATCTGGTGTAGGTCAAGATTAATTACGGGTGTTATGGTGAGGTAAAAGGGACACAAAAAGCTATTTATATTTCAGTATATCTTCAATTTTTCTTCCTCTTTGTCAATATAAAACTGTGATATTATGACATGAAATATTATCTTGCTTTCAGCCAATCAGAATCAAGCATTTGGGACTTGTATTTGATATTTATGTCATGATATTAACCAAAGTTTTATGCTACAGGGCCAATGCCGGGGGTCAATGTCTTTCTAATTCAGTTATTATGAGAGCCAGGGTTTATTGATTTAAAACGCTTTATATAAATTAATATAAACGCTTCTAATATATTCATTTTATGTTTATGGCTATTATAAACAGATTGATACTTATAGATTTGGGATAGAGATGGGTATGTAGATAGCTAGACACATAAATAGATGGATAGATAGATATAATATAGAAGGATAGGTAGATAATGGAAATGCAGATATAGGACGATACTGAAGATAGGAAGAGGGGGAAGGAAAGAATTATACACATTTATTTTTAAAAAATTGTTATTTACTCATCCAATCATTCATCCATCCATCCAAACAAACATTCTTTTTCTTCTTCTCTCACTCATTTATATCAAATTCACACCTTATGTCTTTCACCTAATCTCTATAAAATCTCTATATGTCTGAAAGAATAATTCAATTTTTTACAGTTCACTATAAATATATATGAATATTCTTTAAAAACAGCTGATCATTGATGTAATAATTATTTTATTCACATCACTTTTTTTTTCCATAAATAATATTCTCCTTGATACAGTGTATTTCTTATTTTCTTCATCAACCAGTTTTAGAGAATAAACTTATAATTCAATTTGAAGGAAAAAAATGAATAAATGAACCTTTTATTACCACACGGCACACGTGTGTTGATATTCTACAGCATAGGCATTTAAGTTTTGACATTTTATTGGACATATATACTGCAATAATACAACACAATTGAAAGGACAGACATTGCAAAAACAACACCTCAGATTTTAGCCCCAAATTTACTGTCACGGATCATAGGCAACACAACCACGACAAATTGATTCGCCACCAAAGACAAGCATTACACATCCCAAAACCACAATAACTCCCAAAACATAAATGTCAGGAGGCCAATGTCTATGTGTCAAGATGTCAGCGATAACAAACACTTTATTAACTAGTCTTGGCTCCAAGCGCACGCAGGCGCGTCACATTTACTAATAATACAAAGACATTTCATCGAGTAATAAATGCAAACCAGAAAAAGTAATTGAGCATATGTATTCCAAGTCACCTGTATAGCTATGAAGAACTCTAATTGATGAGACTTACATCTCAGGATACTGCACTACACTATTCAGTGAAACCTCATAGTAACATGGTCTTTTGACATCATTATTCATCAGGTATAATAATAAATTTGAAACTGATTACCCTCAAATGTACACAGTAGATACAACAAGCCAAAGAGTGCACAATCTTATGGGTTTACATCTATTGACATTATTCCATATAATTGTTCTGTTAGCAAATCACTTCAAAAGCAATTTTCCATTTTGGAACAAAATTCAAACCTATGTACAAAACGATCTACAAACGATTCAGTGTATATGGTGTGCAACTGTGCATTACACAAGCTTTTCAATTGCCACACATCTGTGAATTCTTCTCGTTTATTGAAAATGGGCTCACTTGATGTGAATTTCTTGCTTTTCATCTTTAATGATGTAAATCACTTGGTTGAGAACAATCCAGACAATGTTATAAAAAAGGTCTACATGTTTATCTCAGGTTATCCATACTGTACCTGCAGAATCAAAGCACATGTAGAGTGCAAATAATTTGCAAAAATTATAGCAACTGAATCAGATATTGCAGGTACAATTATGAAGCTTATAGAGTAAATATTCAAATACAGTGTACCTCACAACAACTCAAAATTCAGGTACATTTTGTTTAACCCCTAATTTAATCAACTCTTCTAAGTTCCTGTTTAGTTTGCCTTCGTGTAAAGTTAACAAACAGAAAATTATGGTTAGGTTGTGCAACTGTCACAATGTGTCCCAAGAATTTTATTTCATTACACAGAACAAAAGTCTCAGATTGTTCTGTTATTTTAAAAGATTATTGAAAGCTCTCTCCAGTTTTAAACGGCTTCACAGTCAATCATCCAGTGGATAAGCTATGCAGACAAGAGGCAAAATATAAAAGATCGATCTGTCTTTGTAGTTTGTACGAATGAAGTTCTATGTTTTGTTTTTTTTGCCTGAAAATGCGTTCTCTCCAAAGTTGTGTTGAAGTAGGTCAAGCTGATCCTGGCTAATGAGCTTGCTTTCGTGGACTTCCTGCAAGAGAGTCCTGGTTTTTCCATCTTTCCTGTTTACCTTGTTTCACCACTTTTTTTTTTCTTGGCATCCTGCACTTGCTGTCTGGTTATATTCAGTTTCTAATCAACTCAGACAGAAAAAGAATAGTCATGTTCTTTTGTAATGTCATAGGGTTTCTTTGGAGGCACGGGAACACTTTAGGATGTTGTACATGGTTTTGCTGGGAGTCTTGAGCCATGGGTCTGTTTATAGGGAGGAAGTCCAGGAAAGACAGTAGGCACAGCTCTAGGAAGGAGATGTGGTGTGTAACATCCTTTCCTCTCTTGGGTGTATTCCTGCATTACAATAAAAGCAAATGGAAACAATAATGAGTTTTTTCTCATAACATGACAATTGTTCTACTATTCATGCTATTTCATGTGATTTTTAAGACTGAAACTGAAAGCAGCTTCCAGCCAAATAAATAAAATAATGTTATTTGATAGAAATAGTGTAGTGTGCGGTGGGATTTTTAGGCTAGCCTAAGGTAGTTGGATAACTCCTGTGATGTGAAATATGGCAGGCTAGCCTGGCTTAGACCAAAAGCTTCAGTCTCTCTATATCGTCGGTTGTTCTACTGAGACTGCGTCTGGCTGGCACTAGACCTCTGATTATATTATGGGGAATGTCAACAAATGTCAGTTTTATTAAAGAAATGACCCATATCAGACGGTTATTTCTGTCTAGCCTGGTTTTGCCTTTCAGGCTTTAGAAATTAGAGACTAGAGTTTAGATCTAGAGTCTAGAGTATAGATTTAGATCTAGAGTCTAGCCTAGATATAGATCTAGACTAGTTTGATTTTTATCTTGAAATTAGATAAGATAAAATTAATTATATCATTTTATTCAATAGAATCAAACTCATGAAGTTATATTTCCGAGTTGGACTCTCTGGCTCTTGGAGTTGCGAGCGACTCCAGCGCAGCAGAATTTTCCCATCACCGTCCCCAGAACCTTAACCCATGCCTGCCCCAGGACTGGCGCGCTCCGCTGCTGCAGGAGCTGCGGTGGCTTGTCATGAGACAACCCGTGCCGGGTACAGACTACAGTCACTGCATAAACTACATTTTTAGCTCCAAAATCTCTTTATTAATCAACATAACATTAAGAAGAACTTACTTGTGAACTATTAGGCAGTTCCCTTTCTTTCTTCGGTTCGAACATCCAAATGCATCGCACGAACCTGGCTTCTCCAAATTTTTCCACGTATGTTGTGCACAGTATCTTGTTGGGTCGTTCGTTTTTCTGCCCTCCTTAGTAATGGCGGCCACCGCTCCAGGTCAACACAGCAATTTGAGCGAGTACGCCCTCTAGTGTTATTAAGTATATATCTCTATGTTTTAACTGCATCAACTAAAGTTGAACTGTGCAGATGCAGATTAACATTCTTATTATAACAAACATTTTTAATGCAAAGTACAGTTTTTGCCATAATTTAATCGAGGTGATTGGAATAATATCTATCCAGACTGGAAAGATATCGGGTAGTCCCATATACATCTTACAGTGCTTGTAACTTTACCAAGACTGGGCCAAATTTCTTATCATTTTGATGATTCCAGAACCTTGCAGTGCACACCAATACTTACCGTAAATCTCCGTGTATAAGGCGCACCCCTATTTTGGGGGCAAAAAAAAAAAAAAAAAAAAAAAAAAAAAAAAAAAAAAAAAAAAAAAAAAAAAAAAAAAAAAAAAAAAAAAAAAAATCGTTTTTTGTTTTGTCGTTGTTGTTGTTTTGTTGCCGAAGACCCACGCGGGGAAGGACCTTCATTTTACATAGAGATGCAGTTGAAGTTGTGAACTTGTCACAAATAATAGTAACAACAGTCTAAGGCTTCATGATACCAAGTGTCCCATACCGGCCTCCTCACATCACCTAGCAGAAGCTTTGTGTTTTATGCCAAACATCAATAGTCATGCATGATCTATTAGAAAGATTACTTTCAAACCAAGATGACAGACACATTTGAGTGTTGTTGTAGTTTCCGAGTGGTGAGTCAACACACTGATTACTGAGTTAGGAGACATTGCCAGGCATAGCGCCATAAATCGAAACTTAAAAAAAAAAAAAAAAAAAAAAAAAAAAAAAAAATTCTGTACCTGTGTATAAGACGCACCCCCGACTTTCAAATTTTTTCGGCGGCAAAAAAGTGCGCCTTATACACGGAGATTTACGGTATATGCTAGATGATCAACCTTTTCTGATCGATTCTACACCGTTTCTTTCACAATGCAATCGCATGACCAGAACTGGTCTTTACCTTTAAAGTAATTGTAATTATTGATATGCGTCCTTTTTTGTCTTCACCCGTAGGCACTACAGGAGAGCATCAAACGCTCCTGGAAGATGAAGACAGGTATCATTCGGTGCAGTGGGAGGATGCTGGTCATCAGATCAAGTGCATGAAGCAAGAAGACTGGGAAGAAACAGGCTCTCAAGAAGACAAGAACTTATTTCCTGGGCCTGGTATGAGCCATGCTTCACAATCTGCAATAGAGCAAAGTAAACAAAAAAACTAAATTGTAACCTCTTTGGGTGGTATTCTTCAAAGCGAACTAACTTTAGTACGTAGTTTAATCCACTGACTGAGTATGGAATGCCAAGTGTCCATATGAAGATGTTTTTGAACAATTTAATCTGTCACTAAATTAAAATGAAATGTAATAACATAACTAATAAACAACAATATAACTAGTATGATATAATTATGTTGTCATGGTAATTTAGCGGCATATCAAATTTTTCAAAAATATATTCATATGGACACTTGGCATTCCATGCTTAGTCGGTGGATTAAACCATAGACTAAAGTTAGTACGCTTTCAAGAATACCACCCTTTGTATTTTACCCCATATCCAATAACACCCTTTAAATCCAATAAGAGCTATAGCCATTATGGTTCATAGAGAGAGATAGTTTCATTACTAGAGGTCATTTGGTTCCTTCTGTGATTTTGAACCTGTTTGTTGACAACTAGATTGTTTGAAATAAGATCACAAATGGTCACATTTTGTTCTTACTCAGACTCTTATGACAGTGGGAACTTTGACCTTTAACCCCAGAATTTAAGGTCTTCATTCTTTCAGGCTTACTGGAAATTTGGTACAAATTGTCTCATTGGTTCTTCAGGTTTCGTTGTAATGAAATGTTTACTGAGATGCAATTGTGCACTCTTGTGACCTTTGACTTTTCATCTATTAAACCTCAAGTGAAATCATTTCATACTTGTTTGCTTATAAATATTAAATTTGAGCCAAGCTTGGTTGAATCTGCCTCAGCAATTTGCAGGTGATCATTGTGAATAGATGGATACAGAAATTTGATTCTTTAAAGCCTGTATGTACTACAGTAGTTTGGCCAGGGGGATTAGACCTCCCTGCAAAGTCACTGACAGGTGGTTATCTCATCAAATCAGCTCTCAATTACCAACAGATAAAGAGGATCATGGTGGACCAACAGGCACCGATTAGGCATTGTTTGCTACATAGAGGGCGCAAGTAGCTATAAGTAGTGCAGTAGGGCCTTTAACACATAGAAACACTGATCAATAATTAACAATCAATTCATTACTTTTCTGTGACAGATGTCATCAGTAGTTTGGACACTCCAGTGATCACACTCGAATGTCAGGAACAGGCACGATTAGGCTCTTTGACTGAGGAGGGTGGTTATTCTAACATCAGTAGTTTGAACACTCCACTGCTCGCCCTCGAATGTCAGGAACAGGCACAAGAAGGCTCTTTGACTGAGGAGGGTGGTTATTCTAACACCACCAACCCTGCAGAAGCTCGATGTGAAGTCTCGGTCGACCGTCCTCCAAGAACCACCAGAGCCACCGAAGAACATGGTGAAGATCATCGTGAAGCAACGACTGAACGTACAGAAGATATCCAGAAGCCGTTTCCATGCCCCGAGTGCCATAAAAGGTACATTCGTAAACATGACCTAAAATTGCACATGAAGTACCACACTGGGGAGGATCTTCACCCGTGTGAGGAGTGTGAGAAGAAGTTTCATTCCAAGTGTGTCCTCAGGAAGCACATGAAATTACACACAGGCGAAAAGCCCCATGTTTGTTCAGTGTGTAGCTTCGGGTTCTTGAGAAAGAGTACCCTCACAGTACACATGCGAAGGCACAATGATGAGAAGCCATTTCAGTGCCGTCAATGTCCGAAGAGATTTATCGTAAACAATGAGCTTACAAGCCATGTGAAGCACAAGCATGGTGGGGTAGGGGAGCACAAGTGTGGTTATTGTAGTAAGAGGTTCTTTTCAAGAAGTGACCTCATTATACATGAAAGAACACACACCAACGAAAGGCCGTTTCAATGTTCGGAGTGTGGTAAAAAGTTTCGTTCAAAGAGTTGCCTTACTGTACATAGGCGATTGCATAAAGGAGAGATGCTTAAAGGAGAGATGCAGAAAGGAGAGATGCGTACAGGAGAGATGCTTAAAGGAGAGAAACATCAGTGTCCCGTCTGTAATAAGACATTCAGTCAGAAGTGTTACGTCAGTGTGCACATGAGAATCCACAATGGAAAGCCGCATAGGTTCCCTCACTTCCTCAGGGGGTTACTCACCAAGTCTGATCTTGCGCAACAGGTTCGAGCGCAAAGAGGCGAAGAAACGTTTTCGTGCACCAAGTTACTCACCAAGTCCGATCTCGCGCAACAGGTTCAAGCGCAAAGTGGGGAAGAAACGTTTTCGTGTACCAAGTGTCCTGAGAAATATTACACAAAATCAGAGCTCTCAAAACATTTCCTGTATCACCAGACGAAAAAGCTTCGGTGTGGTAAGTGTGATGAGGTATTCACGTCAGAGGCTCGTTTTGCGCAGCACATGAGGAGTCATACAGAAAAGTTTATGTGTGGTACGTGTGATAAGGTTTTCACGTCAAAGGGTCGTCTTGCCCAGCACATAAGGGGCCATACAGAAAAGAAGTCTCACTTGTGTGCTGTATGTAATGAAAGTTTTAAGACGAAGGCCATCCTTTTGCAACACAAACAAACGCATACCAGAGAAAAACGGTTTGCGTGTCCGGAATGTGGTAAGAAATTTCCAAAGAGGGCAAGGCTGGCTGTTCACATGAGGACTCACACTGGTGAAAAGAATTATAAATGCTCACAATGCGACAAAGCATTTAGCATAGCCGGTAACCTTGAGAGACATAAGCTTACAGTACATACCGGTGTCAAGGCTTTTTCTTGTCCCTTGTGTGATGTCAAGTTCACTGCTAAATGGAGTTGCGATGCCCACATCGTGAAATTCCACCCCGAAAAATGTCTGTATGAGTGTTCCGAATGCAGTCGGAAATTCCTCACAAAGGGTTCCCTCGAGGATCACATTTTGAGAGTACATGGTGAAGACACTGATCCACACAAATGCAAAAGGTGTGATGAGAAATTTGCTACAATGGGCAGTCTACGTGAACACGCTTTGAGAATACACCCGAAAAGGCCGAATGTTGAGCGTAACCAGTGCTCCGATTGTGATAAAACCTATTCTTCAAAGCAAGGTCTTCTTGCTCATAGATGGATGATCCACTCAGAGGGAAAGTTACCTGAGTGTGGGGAATGTGGAAAGCGATTTAAGTCGAAAGCTTCCCTGCGGTACCACCAAAGAGTCCACAGGGGTGAAAAGCCTTTCCATTGTCCCGAGTGTGATGCGAGGTTCCATCTGAAGAACATCCTCAATAACCACATGAAGATCCACTCGCTGGAGAAACCTCACCACTGCCCCGACTGCAGCATGAGATTCAACTCTGGGCATAACCTTGCAAGGCATCGTAAGAAACACACAGGTGAGAAGTCCTTTCAGTGTTCCATTTGTGGCAGAATGCTGGGAAGGAAGCAGGCTCTTAATGAACACATGATGACGCACACCGGGGAGCGACCGTTCTGGTGCCAACATTGCGATAAAGGTTTTGTTTCAAAGACGGAACTTAGGAGGCATTTAACGAAACAAGCGAGTGCACAGCCACATCCGTGTCCTAAATGTACAGAGACCTTTCCTTATAAGTGCAGCCTTAAGAATCATATAAAAATGATGCATTGACGAAATCTATTCCAGATTGGAACCAGTTTTGGTGCCAACATTGCGATAAAGGTTTTGTCTCAAAGACGGAACTTAGGAGGCATTTAACGAGACAAGCCAGTGCACAGCCGCATCAGTGTCCCAAACGTACAGAGAGATTTCCTTACAAGTGCAGTCTTAAGAATCATATGAAAGGGATGCATTGACGGAATCTAGTCCAGATTTGAACCAGGGGGTGTTTCACAAAGATCCCAAGTTGGACTTAACAATTATGGAAAGCTGTTAGCATGTTTGAAAATATTTTGTAAAAGTTATTTTAGAAGGCATATAACGTTGAATCGTACTTTCTATTGTCAAGGAGATTTCATGTTCTTGATGTGGAATTTATGAAAAGTCTAAAATACTTGAGTTTTTGTTTTTGAATATATTTCATTCTAAGGCTACGAATGGCTGTCCATGAATTTTAAGTCCAACTTAGAGTTAAGTTCGACTTGGGGCCTTTGTGAAACACCCCCAGGGGCTTGTTTCATGAAGCCGTCATAAGTACAAGATCAATTTCATCCCAATGCTTTTGTTCGACTTGTCTGCTGAGTGTTTCACAAAACTGTTTTTGCAACTTCCCTTCAACAGACTTGTTGCGACTCCAAACCTGTCATATCTTTTTAGAACGCCATCTGATCTCAAGGCAACTTTAAGCTGGTCTATGGGCAGCAAAGAAAATGAAAACTGGAAATTTATTTTCACAATTACTTCTTGATCTTCAAGCTCTCATTTCGCCGATCAGTTCTTTTGGGTGTTAACCAGTTGACATCTAAATTCTCTCATTGCCATAGACTTAATACGGGAGTTATCCGGTTCCCGTTGGCAATGTGTTAATATAAAAGCATTATATTCTTATAAAGTGTTAATGCCTTGTAAATATAATAAACATTATTTGTAGAAGTATGTACATCGGTCTACCATAGAAAAGTTACCAAAGATCGAACAGTCTGTATTTCCAGACCCATGAGATTGAGGACCATTTTTTGTTTAGGCATTTCTCTAGATAGTTTACTTATATCAAGCATAAACTCAATACAAATCATGTCACAGTATTATTGGAAAAATATAAAAGCTGTGAGCCATAAAATATCTTTTTTTCATTATGTTCTTAACTAAACAATTTAATCAGGGTCTTCTTTAGATTAGAAATGAGTTATGGTATCCTCTTACTTGCAATATTGTATTCGCTCGTCGCCAAAGTTACCTCAAGTTTTGCCATTTTTTATAAATTCTTAGATGTTAAATTAGGAAGGTAGGATTTAGGAACACATGTTTTCATGCAAACTACAGTGTGTAGGTGTTTGTATCATTTTGTGCTACCATTCTTTTACATTTTTACTTTTTGAAATATAGATTCATTTGAATATACATGCATGTAACTCAGGGATTATATATTTCATTGTTATCTGTTAATATAATCTGGAAATTAAAGATAAAGACCAGTTCTGGTCATACGATTGCATTGTGAAAGAAATGTCGTGGAATCGATCAGAAAAGGTTGATCATTTAGCATAAAAGTATTGGTGTGTACTGCAAGGTTCTGGAGTCATCAAAATGATAAGAACTTTGGCCCAGTCTTGGTAAAGTTACAAGCACTGTACACAGAAAGATGTGTATGGGACTACGCGACATGTGCGCGATATATATCAATTAGTAGGCGGTTTCACGGCAAAATTAATAATGATCAGTTTTTACTCAAACTATCAGTTTATTATTTTATCAGGTTATATTATCTTAAATGGTACCAATAGCATTTGAAACGACTACCTTAGCACCATTTTCTCCCATCTAAACAATGTTACCAAGTCACTTTAATAAATATCACTGTCTAAATTGTCAAAATATAATAAATTGGAGACTTTAGGAGCTTGTCATTGTTTTCGACCAACTATTTTTTATCGTAAAGTAATTTGTTCGGAGTAAAACAAAAAATATGTATACCTGTATAATTATATATATTTTGATCATTAATATGAAGGTACCTACCGTTGTAGTCGGGGAGTTTTGTTCCCCTTTTTTGTAACTTCAAATGTACAAGGTTTATATGTATGTATATTGCAATAAAAACATGTTTAGAATATAATTGCTTTACGGTGAATGTTTGTCTCCATATTAGCAGACTGTTTGTGCGTCAGGAACAGAGTTATGGTACCAGGGGTGTTTCACAAAGATCCTAAGTCGAACTTATGGAGAGCCATTTGTAGCCTTAAAATAACATATATTCAAAAGCAAAAATTCTAGTATTTAGATTTTTCAAAAATTCCTCATCAAGAACATGAAATCTCCTTGATTATAGAAAATATGAAAGATTTGAAATAACTTTTACAAAATATTTTCAAAGATGCTAACGGCTTTCCATAGTTGTTAAGTTCAACTTAGGATCTTTGTGAAACACCCTGCCCCCATACGCAGAAAAAGAAGATCGCAAGTACTATTGGCACTGGAAATTAGAAGAAAGTAGAGCGATGTAGGCCTACTCGCAACAATCGAGTGAGAAGTTGAAGGGAAGTGTCGAGTTGGTAGACGTCACGTCCTGGGGGTGTTTCACAAATATGCTAAGTCGAACTTAACTCTAAGTCGAACTTAACTCTAAGTTGGACTCAAAAGCAAAAATTCAAGTATTTTAGATTTTTCAGAAATTCCTCATCAGAACATAAAATCTCCTTGGTAATAGAAAATATGAATGATTTGAATCAACATTGTATGCCTTTTAAAATAACTTTCACAAAATATTTTTCAAAGATGCTAACGGCTTTCCATAGTTGTTAAGTTCAACTTAGGATCTATGTGAAACACCCCAGACGAAGAAAACGGAAGATCGCAAAGTATTGGAACTGGAAAAGTAGAGAGAAGAGTGACGTACTAGCAATTATAGAGTGAGAAGTTGAAGGGAAGTGTCGAGTTATTAGACGTCCTGGGTGCGAGTTTCTCGAAACCGTAATAAGTCTAACTTCTTGGACATTCCACTGACATGTGTGTTGTAGAATTAACACGCGCTTCTATGATGGGACGCAGTGACGGATCCAGGGGAGGGGGGGGGGGGGGCAGGCCCCCCTCCCCTGGGAAAGAATGGTATGCAAAACAATGTTTACTTAAAATAAATGACATCGCAAGAAAATCGGGAGGCTATGGTTCCCAGAAAAGTTACATCCATACATTTGAATATGTTCGTAAGCCGATCTGATTGGAAAAAATATAATCATTAATCTGTATCTTAGGTCTCTTGTAATGGCTCATAGAAATATCCCGTCATTTTTATTATTATTATTTTTTTCATGTGTTTTTTTTAAACAATCTTATCACGATGTTTACAAGTAATTATAAATAGATTACAAAAAAGCAGTACAACGTAGATCAAAACCTCACAAAAAGTAAATTTACACTAAGATGCAGGCAATTACATGCACATGTACCTTCTTCCAAAATATAAAATAAACTTCCATTATTTTTAAGTGCAAGGGCAACTTGTTTTCTTTTTTGCAATACGATATTCAAGATCTTTAGTATAGTCAATGTAAGTTCTGAAACCCTGGAAATTGGGTATTTTACTTTGAACTTTACATTAATAAATGTAGTATTGATGCATAAGAACTAAATAGGTAAAAAAAAAATCTCCTTTTCACAGCTAAATCTGGTCATTGTTATTATTTTACAAATATATCTTTAATGGTTTTCACTTCCGGACGAAGGAGTACCATTCTCCAACAATTTTATTAATAAACTCGATGAGCTATTAATGTCACAAATAGGAGGAGACACAGGTATCAATTCCCATAATACTTTTAAAATCATTTTTTGAAAACAGTGAATGTTATAATAATCGATACAAGGTGAACAGAAATGAAATTAAATAGAACGGTTATCTTTTAAAATTCACAAATGTTTAACATTTGAGTTGAGTATGTTAACAACTTATTCGTGTATTTCTATTTTACCTGTAATCCTAAGATATTAGAAAATAATGATATACATTTTTAACAGATATGTATTACAATGTCACTTATGCAAAGAATCTGTGGTATCAATTTTATCTATACTTAATACAATTAACAGTGAATCTTTTAATAATCAATACAAGGTCAATAGAAATTAAGTTAAATACAACGGTAATCTTTTATAATTTACAATTTTTTTAAAACAAATTGTGTAAAGTATGTTAACAATTTATTTCTGTATTTCTATTTTACTTGTAATCCTAAGATAATAGACACTAACAATATACATTTTTAACAGCTATATGTATTGATCGATTACAATCTTTCTTGGGGGATTAGTGGCTTAATTTATTTGCGGTACTGTCGGATAAATGATTAATTTCCCCTACATTTCTCATCATATCATAATTATCTACATTAAAGATTGAGAACTTTCTCATTCCTTGTATGTCAGCAGAAGGCAAAAAATGCTCCTATTAAGGCCAAATAACAAAAATACGTGTTTCTTGTCCGGAAGAGGCGGGGCGTTACTACATGATTTACTATTTTGCAATTTTTTCCAAGATGGCTGCGCCTTGCTAATTATAGCTGGTCAAGCCTAAGTTATTCACATATATTGTGCTATGTGAGTATACTGATGCAATTTATGACAAAACAAATGATTTGTATCACTTTAGAAGCTATTTAATCAAAATGTGTATATTATGTTATATATACACCTCTAAAATGCTCTAATAATATCAGCTTAAAAAATTGCTGTGATGTTCTCATGTAAGAATTCCTGCAATAAAAGAAGTAACAAGTAAAACTGATATTATTAGAGCCTTTTAGAGGTGTATATAGATATATAATAAATTCTCAACCGTAAAATCTTTAGAAATGAGTCCCTATATAGTGGCTTCGGTGACGAGAAAGGCCTATATCCTTGATTGATAGAGTAATTGTAACTTAGTGCTAAGTTACAGCTTTTCACAGCAATTTGATAAGTTGATATTTGTAGATCTGTAATACATTTGCTAAAGGTAGAGGCCAAAGAAGGCCAAGAAGTTACCGGCTGGTAACTTCTTGTATAGGCAAGGCGTTGTGTGTATACGTGTGTGAAGCCTAGAGCTTCGCACTGCATCTTCGCATCTTTAGCACACATGAAGCTTGCATGAGCTCCGATTCATACTGGGGGTCCGGAGCTCAAGTGGGAAAAAGAATTACGCTGTCGGGAACACGCATAGATATGCTACCCTAAATATCACTGAGTGTGTGTGTGTGTGTGTGGGGGGGGGGGGGGGGGGGGGTCCCATGATTGGCAAGTGACGCCTATATGCAACAATGTCTATGTGTGTGATTTGGTTGACTAGTTTTATTCGTCAACTATAAGAAAATGTCCTTGTTGTATAAATTTATGGAAATAAATACCAGGAAATATTAGGCCTCCAATAAGAGGGGAGGGGGAGAGATACCATTTTCAGGATGTTTTTACGATATCTATACCACTTGGCTCCAAAGGGGGTTGTGTCGCACATTGTCTAACATTTGTATTGCTTTCATTATTATTTTCCTTTTTTTCATTTCTTCCTTCTTTTTTCTTCTTCATTCTTTCCTTTTGTTTCTCACTCTCTCTCTCTCTCTCTCTCTCTCTCTCTCTCTCTCTCTCTCTCTCCCCCCTCTCTCTCTATCTCTGAATTCCTCTCTTTGTTTGTTTGTTTCGTTGTTTCTTTCTTTCTTTCTTTCTTTCCTTATTTCAGTCTGAAGTCAGGTTGTTGTTTTTTTCCCAAAATCATTTTGCTTCTTAAAAGACACCGTTGTGTTATTATTTTGTTTCTTCACTTGAGATCGAGACGGTTGAGCCGAGATTTTGAGATCGAGAGCCAAAAAGCAGCTGCAGCTGCATGACTAATTTCATTTTTAATGGAATGCAGGAGTAAGCAGCACAATGACGACCAGAGAGTGTGAGTATAATAGGTCCAGGCATTTCTCGTGAAATAAGCCACAGTCAGTACTGCTCATTCTCTGTTTACCTGTGTAATCGTACGTAGCGATTCATTGCGTGCAATGCCTATGTGTGTCACGGGGATTCCAACCCTGTGGATAGACCAGGGACTTGGGGCCCGTTCCTAGAAACCGTCATAAGTCTAACTTCTTGACTATCCCATTGAAACGCGTGTTAATTACATAACACACGTTTCAATGGGATAGTCAAGAAGTTAGACTTATGACGGTTTCTAGGAACGGGCCCCTGGGAGACAAGTCTCTGGATATACTTTACATGCAACTGGCGCAAGTGCAAGTGTGTGTGTGTTGTGTGCGCACACTCGATGATCATCAGTGCAGCTGCAGTGGCTCATTTCACGAGAACGCTAGGAGTAGGAGTAGGAATTATAGGCCAAGCTGAGGTCCATGCTGTACTATATTAGTAATAGTATGACACAAGTCTAGACCAAATTTTCCGTCTCTTTCGTTCGTTAGCCTCCTATTTGGGTAGGGTCGGCCGGCTCTCTCTAGCTCTTTAGAGACGGAAACCGTCTAGATCTATACACATTCCCTTGATAACGCCACAGCCATTTCAGGTCGTAGCGTTTTGCCCCCAAAATCCCCCAAAATGTCATTTTACCTCGTGTATATCCAAATGTAAATTAGGCCTAGGCTATAATACATCGGTTCCACTTACTAACTTGATTGAAATAATCCGTTTAATGGTCCCTTTTAAGGAAATTATGGGTAAAAATCGACATCCATGTTGAAAATCTTGCAAGCCGTGTTAAACTCTTGCTGCCGGAGTCATCTAAATCAATCTCATCCCTTCTAGTCTACGCCGAAGGCAAAATGATTATGAAGGAAAAACTGTGCGCCATCTACACGTTCGTAATGGCGTTATCACAGTTCTGGAATCATCAAAATGATAAGAAATTTGGCCCATTCTTCGTAAAGTTACAAGCACTATACACAGAAAGATGTATATGGGACTACCCTATATCTCTCACAGACCATGAGAGGAACAAATTTACCAAATATATGAATTAGTAGGCGGTTTCCCGGCAAATTTTTTATCATCATGTATTAGTCAAAACAAAAAACTGTGCGCCATCTACACGTTCGTAATGGCGTTATCACAGTTTTTCCTTCATAATCATTTTTGCCTTCGGCGTAGACTAGAAGGGGTGAGATTGATTTAGATGACTCCGGCAGCGAGAGTTTAACACGGCTTGCAAGATTTTCAACATGGATGTCGATTTTGACCCATAATTTCCTTAAAAGGGACCATTAAACGGATTATTTCAATCAAGTTAGTAAGTGGAACCGATGTATTATAGCCTAGGCCTAATTTACATTTGGATATACACGAGGTAAAATGACATTTTGGGGGATTTTGGGGGCAAAACGCTACGACCTGAAATGGCCGTGGCGTTATCAAGGGAATGTGTATAGACGGTTTCCGTCTCTAAAGAGAGAGCCGGCCGACCCTACCCCAATAGGAGGCTAACGAACGAAAGAGACAGAAAATTCGGTCTAGACACACACGCAAGATTTCGAAGCGTACGTACATACGCTATAGACCTATGTAGGGTGTCTGAACGATTTTTCAATTTTCAATTTGGGATCGTTTTTCACCATTGTTGTTGGATATTTGAATAAAAAATGTAATCAGAATAATACATTTCAAATTTCAAGACTCACCGATGTTTCTATCAAAAGATACAGCCCCTCAAAAACTCTGCAATATAGCATTTTGGTCAGAATGGACGAAAAAGTGGTTCACGCCGAGTTATCATTTTTTTGCTCAACAGCTGCATTATAATGCAGGGTCTATATGCAAAAAGTGGGGGAAAGGTATTTTCAAACTTAAATCCTTCGTGATCCCTTGGGGCTAGCGAAAAAAAATGAACATCAACATATTCCTTACGACTTGAACTAATTATCCCTCGGGGGGGGTCGATTCTCAAAAGTTTGAAATCTCCCGAGTTGCCATGGAAACGCATTTAAATCGCTGTTTTGACCAAGATATTTTTAGAAATTTGAAATGACCCCCCTTTGGAAATTTGGGAATTATTCTGCCCTTTAATATGACACCTCATTTATTGAGTATCACGTTCAGGATCACAACAGATTAAAGGTAAAGACCAGTTATGGTCATGCGATTGCATTGTGAAAGAAACGTTATGGAATCGATAAGAAAAGGTTGATCATCTAGCATCTCGCATCTGCAAGGTTCTTGAATCATCAAAATGATAAGAAATTTGGCCCATTCTTCGTAAAGTTACAAGCACTATACACAGAAAGATGTATATGGGACTACCCTATATCTCTCACAGACCATGAGAGGAACAAATTTACCAAATATATGAATTAGTAGGCGGTTTCCCGGCAAATTTTTTATCATCATGTATTAGTCAAAACATATTCTTTCACATGATTGGTAATGAGAGCTTCCATTTCATTTTTTGAAATTGGGGCGTTTCCAATACTGGTCTTTACCTTTAAGGTTTGAACTTAAATTTATTTTTAAAAACTTGACCAATTTTGCGATGCACATAGACTCTATAGGGATGTGTGCAATGTCAAAGGGAAGGGTTTTAGCACACAAAACGTGGTGCGCGATCAGACACCCTACTATATGTCACGCATAGCTGATCTTTGAACTTGGCGTCTCCGTAAATACTAGACCGTAAGGTAGAAAAGTGAAGAAAAATTTCTCTCTGGCTTTGCCCTTGCTTACTAACCAGAGCTCACAAAGAACTTTGCGCATTGATAGAGCGCTGTCTACAGTGAGTTTACGCGCTCTCATTGAATTTTGGTATTGAAAAAACCTGAAAATCGCAAGCTTTCCCCTCGCACAAATATCTTATACCATTGAGCCAATGGAGAACAGCGATAGCCAATCTGAAGGGCCCCTGCGGCTAGGCTAGGCGCCAACTTATGAAAATGAGGCTGAGATCGGATGGAGGATCTAAAGTTCTCCGTGCAGAGCTAGACCGAAAGCTTCAGTCTCTGGTATCAACGGTTCTGCTGAGATTGCATCTGGCTCCTCTAACCTGTACTAGACTGAAGTTCGCGTGTCTGATTGCGCACTCCGTTTTGTGTGCTAAAATCCTTCCCATAGAGATTGCACACATCCCTGTGCAGTCCATGTGCATTGCGCACTCATGCAAAATTGGTTAATGTTTTTATTACTCAAATTCAAACCAATACTGCTCATGATCCTGATTTTGTCTGAAGGTGATACGGTACTCAATAAGTGAGGTGTCATATGAAAGAGCAGGTTTTTCTCCATAATCCCCTAAGGGAGAGATTTACCAATTTTATGAAGTGAGCCCCCGACGGATAAGTTGGGCCAGCTGTAAGGAATATTTCCATCGCTTATTTTTTCTCTAGTCCCAAGGGATCACAAGCAGTTACAGTTTGAAAATACCCTTACCCCCACGCTTTGCATATCGTGCTGTGCAGCTTTTGAGCAAATATTATAACTCGGCATGTACCACTTTTTTGTCGAATCTGGACAAAAATTGGATGAATATTGCCTAGATTATTTTGGGGCTGTATCTTTTGATAAAAAAATCGCTCGGTGAGCCTTGAAATTTGAAATGTGTTCTTCTGAGTAGTTGATTTTTTCAATTATCCAACCATGATGGTGAAAAACAATCCAAAAGGGAAAATTGAAAAATTGTTCAGACACTCTACTGAAGTACGTCCTATGCGGAATGTGTGGAAGGAATGGTTCGGTTCAGCCGGACCGCGATGAAACAAGTTTTTCACTCTTTACGTCCTCATATATTCACTTTGGCTGCAATATTACACTGAATCTTATTCAAAATTAAAAGTAACAAAGAAATATCTACTTTGACGTACGATAGCTTGTTCATTTAGATCTTAAATTAATAATTAATCCGAGAAAGTTTTGTAGTCAGCATGATTTGTTGTCAGCCATCTTGGTTTGAGTTGATGAATATTCGTTTTTTTCTTTTTGAACGTCCAATAGCTACTTACGAGTCAGACCGGGTTGACCCTATGATATGTGAATATTCATAAACCCAATATTAAACGAGTGCTCTGATTGGCCATTGGCTATGTTTTGGTAGGTTGACCCGGAAATGTATATCGACCAGGTTATGTCAAACTACCAGTTTGAATGCATGAACGTACCGATTCATGGTTCTGAGATTAAAAAATTGGATAACTCATATAAGTAAGTCCGTAAATTCGCATTTGGAAATAAGTCATCAAAACTTTATAACTTTATAACTGTAGGAGAAAAATATACATACGGTAGTTTTTTTCTAACCGACATATAAATAAGAAAATTAAATCTAAATTAAACAAAATCGGGGGAGAAAGTTTTTGTACCAAAAGTGGTCCAGAATCAGCTCAATCTTTCTCCTCCCACCCCCCCCCTTTATCTTTAATATAAGGAGTAAAGCATAATTTGTTGATTAACGTTCTATTAGATCTTCTTCGATGTATTAAAACAAATAATAAATGTTTTTCATTCGTTCAATAGTGCGAATATTTTCATGAGTTGAAAGATTAACGTTAATTCTATTCAACTCGGCTGACGCCTCGTTAAATAGAATGTTAATCTTTCAACTCATGAAAATATTCTCACTATTGAACTCATAACCATTCATTATTTGTATAATATACATCCTTTTTTGTCTTCAACCGTAGGCACTACAGGAGAGCATGACAAGCTCCTGGAAGATGAAACCAGGTATCATTCTGTGCAGTGGGAGAATGCTGGTCATCAGATCAAGTGCATGAAGCAAGAAGACTGGGAAAAAATAGGCTCTCAAGAACACAAGATCTTCTTTCTTGGGCCTGGTATCGCTTCACAATCTGCAAAAGAGCAAGGTAGACAAACTAAGTTGTAACCTCTTAGGGTGTTATTCTTCAAAGCGGACTAGCTTTAGTCTGTGCTTTAATCCACCTACTGAGTATGGAATGCCAAGTGTCCATATGAATATGTTTTTGAATAATTTAATCTGTCACTAAATTAAAATGAAATGTAATAACATAATTAATAAACAACAATATAACTATGATATAATTATGTTGCATGGTAATTTAACGACATATCAATTTTTTAAAAAATATTTTCATATGGACACTTGGCATTCCATGCTTAGTCGGTGGATTAAACCATAGACTAAAGTAAGTCCGCTTTCGAGAGTACCACCCTTTGTATTTTACCCCATATCCATTGACACCCTTTAAATCCAATAAGAGCTATAGCCATTATAGTTCATTGAGAGAGTGATAGTTTCATCACTGGAGGTCATTTCAAGGAGCCTCAAATGATTCCTTCTGTGATTTTGGACCTGTTTCGTCTCTCAATTTTTTTTGGCTACTAGATTGTTTTAAATCAGTTCACAAATGTTTAAATTTTTTCTTGCTCTCTTATGATGGTGGGAACTTTTACCTTTAACCCCAGAACTTAAGGACTTCATTCTTTCAGGCTTATTGGAAATTTGGTACAAATTGTCTCAATGGTTCTTCAGGTTTCGTTGTAATGAAAATGTTTACTGAGATATAATTGTGCCCTTATGTGATCTTCTGACCTTTCAATTATTAAACCTCGGGTGAAATCATTTCATACTTGTTTGCCTATAAATAACTAATTTGAGCCAGGTATAGAGGGCGCAAGTAGCCATACATGTATGTACTGCAGTAGGGCTTTAACACATAGAAGCATGGGTCAATAATTAACAATCAATTCATTACTTTTCTTTGACAGATATCAGTAGTTTGAACACTTCACTGCTCACACTCGAATGTCAGGAACAGGCACGAGAAGGCTCTTCGACTAAGGAGGGTGGTTATTCTAACACCACCAACCCTGCAGAAGCTCGATGTGAAGTCTCGGTCGACCGTCCTCCAAGAACCACCAGAACCACTGAAGAACATGGTGAAGATCGTCGTGAAGCAACGACTGAACGTACAGAAGATATCCAGAAGCCGTTTCCATGCCCAGAGTGTGATAAAAGGTTCCTTCGTAAACGTGACCTAAAATTGCACATGAAGTACCACACTGGGGAGGATCTTCACCCGTGTGAGGAGTGTCAGAAGAAGTTTCATTCCAAATGTGTCCTCAGGAAGCACATGAAGACACACACAGGCAAAAAGCCCCATGTTTGTTCAGTGTGTAGCGCCAGGTTCTTGAGAAAGACTGCCCTGACGATGCACTTGCGAAGGCATACGGATGAGAAACCGTTTCAGTGCCGTCAATGTCCGAAGACATTTATCGTAAACTATGAGCTTACAAGCCATGTGAAGCACATGCATGGTGGGGTAAAGGAGCACAAGTGCGGTTATTGTAGTAAGAGGTTCTTTTCAAGAAGTGACCTCATTATACATGAAAGAACACACACCAACGAGAAGCCGTTTCAATGTTCGGAGTGTGATAAAAAGTTTCGTGCAAAGGGTTGCCTTACTGTACATATGCGATTGCATAAAGGAGAGATGCAGAAAGGAGAGATGCTTAAAGGAGAGATGCATAAAGGAGAGATGCAGAAAGGAGAGATGCAGAAAGTAGAGATGCTTAAAGGAGAGATGCAGAAAGGAGGGATGCTTAAAGGAGAGATGCAGAAAGGAGAGATGCTTAAAGGAGAAAAACATCAGTGTCCCGTCTGTAATAAGACATTCAGTCAGAAGTGCTTCGTCAGTGTACACATGAGAATCCACAATGGAAAGCCGCATAGGTTCCCTCACTTCCTCAGGGGGTTACTCACCAAGTCTGATCTCGCGCAACAGGTTCAAGCTCAAAGTGGCGAAGAAACATTTCCGTGCACCAAGTTACTCACCAACTCTGATCTCGCGCAACAGGTTCGAGCGCAAAGTGGCGAAGAAACGTTTTCGTGCACCAAGTTACTCACCAAGTCTGATCTTGCGCAACAGGTTCAGACGCAAAGTGGCGAAGAAACATTTTCGTGCATCAAGTCAGATCTCGCGCAACAGGTTCGAGCGCAAAGAGGCGAAGAAACATTTTTGTGCACCAAGTCCGATCTCGCGCAACAGGTTCGAGCGCAAAGTGGCGAAGAAACGTTTTCGTGCACCAAGTGTCCTAAGAAATATTACACAAAATCAGAGCTCTCGAAACATTTCCTGTATCACCAGACGAAAAAACTTCGATGTGGAAAGTGTGATGAGGTATTCACGTCAGAGGCTCGTTTTGCGCAGCACATGAGGAGTCATACAGAAAAGTCTATGTGTGGTACGTGTGATAAGGTTTTCATGTCAAAGGGTCGTCTTGCAAAACACATGAAGTCTCACTTGTGTGCTGTATGTAATGGAAGTTTTAAGACGAAGGCCATCCTGCTGCAACACAAACGAACGCATACCAGAGAAAAACGGTTTGCGTGTCCGGAGTGTGGCAAGAAATTTGTAAGGAAGGCAAGGCTGGCTGTTCACATGAGGACTCACACTGGTGAAAAGAATTATAAATGCTCACAATGCGACAAAGCATTTAACAGAGCTGGTAACCTTGAAAGACATAAGGTTACAGTACATACCGGTGTCAAGGCTTTTTCTTGTTCCTTGTGTGATATCAAGTTCACTGCCAAGTGGAGTTGCGATGCCCACATCGTGAGATTCCACCCAGAAAAATGTCTGTATCAGTGTTCTGAATGCAGTCGGAAATTCCTCACAAAGGGTTCCCTCGAGGATCACCATTTGAGAATACATACTGATAGCGAAGACACCGGGCCACACCAATGCAAAGAGTGTGATGACAAATTTGCTACAAGGGGTAGTCTACGTGAACACGCTTTGAGAATGCACCCGAATGTTGAGCGTAACCATTGCTCTGATTGTGATAAAACTTATTCTTCGAAGTACTCCCTTGTTGCTCATAGACAGATGTTTCACTTGGAGGGAAAGTTACCTGAGTGTGGGGAGTGTGGAAAGCGATTTAATTCGAAAGCTTCCTTGCGGTACCACCAAAGAGTCCACCGGGGTGAAAAGCCCTTCCAATGTCCCGAGTGTGATGCGAGGTTCCATCTGAAGACCATCCTCAATAACCACATGAAGATCCACTTGCATGAGAAACCTCACAAGTGCCCAGACTGCAGCATGAGCTTCATCAATGGGTATAACCTTGGAAGACATCGTAAGAAGCACACGGGTGAGAAGTCCTTTCAGTGCTCCATTTGTGGCAGGATGCTGGGAACAAAGCAGGCTCTTAATGAACACATGATGACGCACACCGGGGAACGACCGTTCTGTTGCCAACATTGCGATAAAGGTTTTGTTTCAAAGACGGAACTTAGGAGGCATTTAACGAGACAAGCCAGTGCACAGCCTCATCCATGTCCCAAATGTACAGAGAGCTTTCCTTATAAGTGCAGCCTTAAGAATCATGTGAAAAGTGTGCATTGACGGAATCTATTTCAGATTGGAACCAAGGGGGTGTTTCACAAGGATCCCAAGTTGGACTTAACAATTATGGAAAGCTATTAGCATCTTTGAAAATATTTTGTAAAAGTTATTTTAGAAGGCATTTAATGTTCATTCATACTTTCTATTGTCGAGGAGATTTCATGTTCTTGATGTGGAATTTATGAAAAGTCTAAAATACTTGAGTTTTTGCTTTTGAATATATTTTATTCTAAGGCTACGGATGGCTCTCCATGAATTTTAAGTCCAACTTAGAGTTAAGTTCGACTTGGGATCTTTGTGAAACACCACCAGGGGCTTGTTTCATGAAGCCGTCATAAGTACAAGATCTATTTCATCCCAATGCTTTTGTTCGACTTGTCTGCCGAGTGTTTCACAAAACTGGTTTTGCAACTTCCCGTCAACAGACTTGTTGCAACTCGAAACCTGTCATATCTTTTTAGAACGCCATCCGATCTCAAGGCAACTTTAATGCCCATCTGTACTAATTTCCAGGAGGGATTAGACCACTCTGCAAGGTCACTGACAGGTGATTATCTCATCAAATCAGCTCTCACTTAACATAAGAAAAAGTGTATCATGGGAGACGAATGGTTACCAATTAAGCAGCGTTTGCTTTATAGAGGGCGCAAGTAGCTATAAGTAGTACAGTGGGGATTTAAGCTGGTCTATGGGCAGCATAGAAAAGGAAAACTGAAAAATTATTTTAACAATTACTTCTTGATCTTCAAGCTCTCATTTCGCCGATCAGGGGACGTTTCACAAAACTTGTCATCAGTGACAAATGACAGTTTTTGTTTTATGCTTCTGAAATCCTTGCTTCTGATTGGTCATCAGCAGATTTGTCACTGATTTTTGTCATTTGTCCTGGAAAAAAGGCTTTGTGAAACGCCCCCAGTTCTTTTGGGTGTTAATATAAAAGCATTATATTCTTATAGTAATGCCTAGTAAAAATTATTTGTAGAAGTATGTACATCGGTCTACCATAGAAAAGTCACCAAAGATCGAATAGTCTGTATTTCCAGACCCATGGGATTGACGACAATTTTTCATGTAGACATTTTTCTAGATATTTTTCCATATTTCAAGCATGAACTGAATAAAATATCTTGTTATCATTACTTTCTTAACTAAATATTAAATCATGGTCTTCTTTAGATTAGAAATGAGTTATGGTATCCTCTTACTTGCAATATTGTATTCGCTCGTCGCCAAAGTTACCTCAAGTTTTGCCATTTTTTTTATAAATTCAATGTTAAAGTAGGAAGGTAGGATTTAGGAACACATGTTTTCATGCAAACTACAGTGTGTAGGTGTTTGTATCATTTTGTGCTACCATTCTTTTACATTTTTACTTTTTGAAATATACTCAGATTCATTTGAATATACATGTATATAACTCAGGGATTATATATTTCATTGTTATCTGTTAATATAATCTGGAAATTAAAGATAAAGACCAGTTCTGGTCATACGATTGCATTGTGAAAGAAACGTTGTGGAATCGATCAGGAAAAGTTGATCATTTAGCATAAAAGTATTGGTGTGTACTGCAAGGTTCTGGAGTCATCAAAATGATAAGAACTTTGGCCCAGTATTGGTAAAGTTACAAGCACTGTACACAGAAAGATGTGTATGGGACTACGCGACACGTGCGCGATATATCAATTAGTAGGCGGTTTCCCGGCAAAATTTGTATCAGCACTTATTAGTCAAAAAATATTCTTTCACATGATTGGTAATAAGAGCTTCCATTTTAATTTTGTTGAGAGGGGGGCGTTTCCAAAACTGGTCTTTACCTTTAAGCTTCCAATATTGTTTGGTAACTCAGGATAAAATCTGATGGATGGTGACATAGACTATATTTTGTTTAGCCCAAAACATGAATTTATAGCTTATCATGGTTTAGGGTCTGGCCGGAATGCTCCCTATGAAGTGGAGAATGTGCATGCAGTGTGTGAAGACAAGCCTAAATCAGATTAGGCAGTAAATATAAATGAAGAAGTAAATAAAGAAAGATATTAATACATTTGTACATGAACAGTATACACATACAACCATTTAGATATACTTAAAGATACAACACAAAGATAGTTATGGTTTTCTTAGAAGGCGACACTATGCAACATCCTCTAACAGAAAATTCTTCCGACCAGTTTTTGAATTTTCCCAACCATTTTCCATGAAGATAAAACATAAAACGGGCTTTTAACAATCTGTCAACGTTTAAATGTTTGGAATGATATACCGTGTGAGTCAAAACAAAGTTTACACCTAGAAAATTGCTAATTATTTTAAAAATTATTATACATCTCATGAAAGGGTGTTTTATCCCAAATCATTTGGTACCATTTTTGTGTGGTATGTGTTCACGCTTGGATGAACAGGTGGCATTGTTTGCGAGAGTGCAAAAATCGACTTGCGCCAAAGTGATGCCTACATTATGTATTATGTTGGGATTAGCGGAGCGAGAGAATGGATTGAATGTACATGTATCAAATGAAATGCATTGCATATGTTTTTTTTGCAAATGACGAAGCCACACACACCTACACACACGTGCACAAATATTTGTTGATGTTTGATACTCGATATTTGATATGTGTGGCTGCTGTGGCATGATTAATTTTGTTAGGGGTGTTATTTGGATCTGCAAAGAACGAATTAATACCCAAACCCAATTGTTTTATTCAAACATCACATAGACAACTTTGGCGCAAGTCGATTTTTGCACTCTCGCAACAATGTCTCCTGTTCATCCAAGCGTGAACACATACCACACAAAATGGTACCAAATGATTTGGGATAAAACACTCTTTCATAAAAAGGCCGATTCATTGCTTTGTGGTGGATTTCGTTAACCTAAGATTTGATTAAATTATAAAAATATAATTGGGGGAATTTAGGAATCGATCAGATCAGTTTTTCACGATTTTTATCATTAATAATGATCTGTTTTTACTCACACTTTCAGATTATCTTAGATTGGACATCTAACAGCATCATGTTCTCTCATCTGAACAATAAGTCCCTTTAATAAATATCACTGTCTGAATCTTTTAAATAATAAATGGCAGACTTTAGGAGCTAGTCTTTGTTTTCTACCAACTATTTTTTATCGTAAAGTAATTTGTTCGGAGTATAAAAAATATATATATATACCTGTAAATATATTTTGATCATTAATATGTACCATTTATTGTAATCTGGGAGTTTTGTCCCCCTTTTTGTAACTTCAAATGTACAAGGTTTATACGTATGTATATTGTAATAAAAATATGTTTAGAATATAAATGCTTCTCGATGAATATCTGTCTCCATATTAGCAGACGGTTTGTGCGTCAGGAACAGAGTTATGGTACCAGGGGGTGTTTCGCAAAGATCCTAAGTCGAACTTAACTCTAAGTAAGACTTAAACATTATGGAGATCCATTTGTAGCCTTAAAATAAAATATATTCAAAAGCAAAAATTCAAGTATTTTAGATTTTTCAAAAATTCCTCATCAAGAACATGGAATCTCCTTGATAATCGAAAAAATGAATAATTTGAATCAACATTCTATTTTCAAAGATGCTAACGGCTTTCCATAATCATTAAGTCCAACTTGGAGATGATTAAAGTTCAACCAAGGGTCTTTGTGAAACGCCCCTAGGGGGCCGTTTCTCGAAACCGTTCTAAGTCTAACTTTTTGGACATACTATTTTAACGTGTGTTGTAGAATTAGCACGCGCTTCTATGGGATGTCCACGAACGTAGACTAACAACGGTTTTGAGAAACTCGCCCCTGCAGGATAGAAAGACAGCATCAAGAATTTGAGAAGGTTGAATGAGACTGAGTACAAGAGGGAATGCACGAGAGCAGGCGCGCCGGAAGCAGTATGGGATTTGGGGGCAAACGTTCCAGGGGGCTCACCTTCACGGGGCAGTGGTGTAATGAGCAAAAACGTTTGAAAGCCCCGGCTGGGGGTTAAGGGGCTGAACCCCCGGAAGCTCAGGGTTTTTAGGCATTAAATCACGGTCAGATAAGCATATTTAGATACCTTATTTGTGACACTGTTGGGTCACTAATTAGACAGAGAGTCAAGGGGGCAGAGCTCCCGGAAGCTCAGGGATTTTAGGTATTTAATTACGGTCCGAAGAGCATCTAGAGGCCCGCCTTAGGGCCCTTGGTGGGGTTTCAGGGGGCAGAGCCCCAGGAAGCTCAGGGGTTTTATGCATTTAATTACGGTCAGATAAGCATATTTCGATTCCTCAATTGTGGCATTGGCAGGTCACTTATTTTTTATCTTTTTCTCTGTAACATACTTTTTCAAAAAATGAGGGGGGGGGGTCGAGCCCCCGAGCCCACATTTTTCGCCCGACTGTAAATCTGGGAATTTCTAATTTTCCAACAAACGCATAAAAATGTATGACTTACAATCAAAATTGAGAAAATACCGGAAAATCATGTCATTTCAGCAACATCTTTAATGGTCTTCACTTCCGGGCGAAGGACGACCATTCTCCAACAATTGTATCGATTCACTCGATGAGCGATCAACGTCACAGTAAATTAACAATTGCATCAATTTAAATATAACTTTTAAAATCAATTTTTTTGAACAGTGAATGTTAAAAAAATAGATACAGGTGAACATAAATTAAGTTAAATACAACGGTTATCTTTGATGTTTAACAAATGTTTAACATCAGGGTTAATTACTGTATTAACAATTTATTCCTGTATTTCTATTTTACTTGTAATCCTAAGAATTCAGAAAAAAATGATACATTTTTAACAGCTATGTATTGATCGATTACAATCTTTCTTGGGGATTAGTGGCTTAATGTATTTGCGGTTATAATAATAATAATAATAACAATATTTATAAAGCGCAACATATCCATCTCCAATGATGCTCAAGGCGCATACAAATAATTTAAATTAATATTCAACATACTTAAGATTAAAGAAATAGATCATTAGATCATACAAGCTCATGGTGCCAAGGTACATACAATGTGGCACAGTATTATTGTTATTATTGTTATTGTTTGTTTATACTGTCGGATAAATGATTAATTTCCCTTCTCATAATCATTATTATCTACATTAAAGGTTGAGAACTGGCAAAGATGTGTTTTTTGGGGTCAACTTTCTCATTCCTTGTATGGCAGCAGAAGGCAGAAAATGCTCCTAAAAAGGGAAAGTCCACCCCCAAAATAAGTTTGTTTCGACAGAGGCAGAATAATAAGAAAATCAGGTGAGTGAAAGTTTGAGCAAATTCTGAATGAAAATAAGAAAGTTATGAATTATTGAAGTTGTGATCAATCAAATACAAATTGGCAACTCTGTGACTTATTATACGAGCTCTCCTTCATTTGCTTTGTGCATAATATTCCATAAAATCATGTTTTCTTCGTTATTGATGACGGAATATATATTTGTTCCTTGCAGGGGGAGTATAGAAACATATTTGCAATTATTATATTTAGGGTGCATGTATGGTTGAAATTTTTCTTGAGGGAAAATGAAAATTTTAGATTTTTTTAGTACTGAGCAAATGGAAGTTGAGCTCGCATGATACGTCATAGAGTTGCCAATTTGTGTTTGATTGATCACAACTTCAAAAACCCTAACTTCCTTATTTTTAATCGGAATTTGCTCAAACTTTCACTGACTTGTTTCTCTCATTTTTCTACTCCTATTAAAACTAACTTAATTTCAGAGTGGATTTCCCCTTTAAGGCCAAATAACCAAAAATACGTGTTTTTTGTCCGGAGGAGGCAGGGCATTACATGATTTACTATTTTGCAATTTTTTGCAAAATGGCTGCCTTGCTAATTATAGCTGACCAAGCCTATTCATTCACATATATTGTGCTATGTGAGTATACTGATGCAATGTATGACCGAAAAATATGATTTGTGCCACTTGAGAAGCCATTCAAACAAAATGTATATCACAGGCTTTCAGAAATATTTGTTTGGGCTTTTTTTTGGGGGGGGGGTTCCTGAATAGTAAATAGTAAAACAAAAAAATAAAAAGAAGGCGGGCTGGGACGAGAGACACTTTGCTTTTGTTAGTTGGCCTAATTCAAATGCGGACTAAAAGATCCATGCCGTAGGCTAAAGTGCGCGTTTTTCAATATACACTTTTCTGTATGTAAAAGGACCATTTTAATGATTAAATTGAATGACATAAGCACAATAGTATTACACTGATTTTCTGAAAGATAAGCTTGAGTTCTAGTAACGATACGAAACTCAATTTTCACACAATCTAACAAAACTTAAACGGAATCAGTTCAAGATTACAAATAAATGACACGTGCCCAACGATTTTGATAGAAAGGTGTAGGGGCTGAGTAATGAGCATAGAAACATTCAGAAATCAAGGTAAGTATAGGCCCTACACCATGTGTTAAAGCGT